TAGAATACAAAAGAGGGGATAATATACAAGGGTCCCCTTCTAAAGTGGCTAAAAACATGTATTTATAGGTCTAAAATCGTGCATGTCGAAATCTCTGGCAAAACCAAGTTAAATTAGGAAACACTGAAATTTTCCTTTATTTTCGTCGGTTTAGTCAGATTGACAGGTTTTAACGAAAATTGGTGTAACTTTCTGACTGTTGATCCAAATAACTTCTATCTTCTTTTGAATGTAAGCTGACTCAATTGTCTATCTCGTGTCCAAATTCCAGATCAATCTAATGAATTTAAGGCCTCCAATGATTGCTTGACATATGACGCTTTAGAACTATCCAATATATATTTTCTCATCATTTTTACTCAATTAACCTGTAAAAGACTCTAAACACTACAAACACACTAAAACTACCACTAAAGACATAAAACCACATAAAATCATTAGATAAAATAATAAACACCATATAAAACCATAAAACTAGGATATATCAACTGCTGATCTACCGTGATTTCAACTCCAAACTATATCCGTCCAAAATAAAGATGCCATTGTTTCGATTTGATGGAGACTCAAATCTCCTGACAGCTTATACATCTCATAATGAGTAAAGAAATTGAATTTCTCTGATTATGTATGTGAAACTCACTTTGCACACCTACAATAAGATTATTTCACTTTCTCTTAACTCTGTTATGTGTATAGATTTTTGGTGCAGATTCGATTGAGATCCCAGTTTATATAGAAATTGCAGGCGACCCCAAACTTTCATGTATTTCACAATCACGGTATCACTTCCAATCAATTGCTCTTATACAAAACTATTTTATTATTAAAATTGCACAATCACCGTATCTCTTGATCTTGCTAATATTCTTGGATTCTCTCTCTGTGCAGAGGCATCAGAGCAAGAAGGAAGCCATGAAAGAGATCATGATGAAGAACAAACTTGGCAGGGTGACTAGTCCGCGTTTTCCCTTGTATTCTTCTTTTGTATGGCATGTCAATTTATAGGTTTTATTTTGTGGTTTTCTAGATGGAGAAAGCTAAGCATAAGGAGGAAAAGGAGAAGCAAGAAAGAAAGAAGACATTTAGATGGAAAGAAGACATTTATATTTCAAAATCTTGGGTTTTACTTTTAACACAAAAATGGAATCTTGGGTTTTGGTTCTGGCTAATAATATGTGTTTAGGATAAAGTTTTAGTAATGCTTTTTGGTATTTGATGTTCATGTATAATACTTGTCATGTTTGTTCTGTTTTTATTACAGGTAATGAGAGCTGCTAAACACTGTAAGAACCATTTACGTTGCTCCACTACCACACGTAAGCTCTTTTGACTTCAAACCTGGTTTTTTTGTAAGTCAAAGCTTTAAATCATCAAACTTCGAGGTATTATTAGTTGTCTTAAGAGTAATGTTTAATTTTGGGGGTACTTACTTGACAAGATTAATATTTAATTTTAGGGGTACTTACTTGACAAGGTTAAATCCCTTAATAAGGTTAAGTACATTAGCCAGTAAAGTATATATTTATGCGTACATCAACATTTACAAACCATACCGCGGTTGGTTTAGGTGCGAAATAGGGTAAACAAAACCGAAATCGTAAACTTTGTTGTACACTAATATAGAGTTTAAAGTTTATTACTTCTTTTGAAGGTAATCTTAAGCTTTGTATTCTTCTTGTGTTCTTTCGTCTCATGTTGGAAAACATTTTCATGTCGATGAATTATTGCAGCCAGCTTATTTGAGCCTGCTTTACACCGAGTTAGCAGAAGAGAAGAAAAAAAAAACTCAAGGAAAAGCTAACACATTTGATAACAGCCTCGATGGCATGAGTTTCCGGTTAAATCGACTCGCTCTCTGCAAAACCGATATCAAAGACAAGACGCTAGAGTCATGGGAGGAAGTGGCTGTATGCAATCTCAATCCTTAAGAAACACAAGAAGATTAGTTGTTGAGTTTGTAATAAAAGGTCTCAAATAATATGTCTATTATTTCACTCTCTGTGTGACATTTAGTGTTAGCTTCTCGGTAACTATTCATATTACCATAGTATGCATGTGTAGCAGATAGAAAGTAATACTGATTTTAAGTGTTTATATATGTGGAAAAAGAACATACATGTGGGTTGTCGTGTCACTCCATTGGCCGCCCGCAATACTACTTGGGTACTATTACCCACTATACCATTGGGATAGAAGAAAGCTACTTGGTTCAAATGTCTGAGAAAAGGCTCTGTTTGAGCATTGGGTTTGCAGGTGGAGAGAATTACATTGCACTATCTTAAATACTTCAATTGCATGATTTGCATCTCCAATTAAATTTTTGTGTCATGAAGCTACAAATACTTTTTTTCACAGGTTGTGAATATATTTTAAACAAACAAATCTAACTTTCGATCAAAAGAAATCTAACCAAAATTATTTAAATAAGGATAAAGTTATATTTAAGAATTAAGCCTGATTGATATGTCTCATTCTAAAACAGTAGTAGAAAAAGAATGGTGCAGAAGTTGTTTGTTAATAATCAC